ATTAAATACAACTCCAACAAGTAGAGAAATTAAATATTTGGGAAGCATTTTCACCCAAGATGCGCGTATGGACAAAGAAATAGAAACAAGAACTATGAAGGCAACTGCAGTGATCTGCCAGCTAGCACCCATGCTAAGTTGAAAGAACATCCCAAACGAAGTGAAATCCCAGTTCATCAATAGCATCTTCATACCAACATTATGATTAACACACCAATGCCAAACAGTCTGCTTTTTTTTGTTTTTGTTTTTTTGTAAAGTGTTTTACGGCGCTCGCAACTGCATAGGTCATATGAGCGCGCGGGACACGCCTAATATTTTAAGTTGGTAGGAAATTTTGAATTTTGCCCGGGTGGCGGCCGAAGCCTACTCTAATCGATTTTAGACCAAGGGATCTTTAACGTGCGCAACTTGCACACGGGCCCTCCGAGATTTTTCGCCCTTGTCCGAGAAGGCTAGGTGTAGATCTTTCCTACCAGAAGATCAGGGGTGTGGCAGAAAGACAGCAGTAAGGGGGAGCCAAGGAGTAGCAGTAGAAAGGCTGCAGAAAGTCAGGGGCCCAGAGGAGGGGGCAAAGGAGGTGAGGGGGTGGGGGCAGAAAGTGGAAATAAAGCAGACAACAGAACATTGCTAGAGAGCAGGAAAGGAGGTGAAAGGAGACAAATTTAGAGAAGAAAATTTTTCGGTCGCTACCCGGGATCGAACCTGGGACCTTTGAATGAGAGGCCAACACCTTAACCTCTAGGCCACGAGAGCCCCCCAAGAGAGAACGTGTGGGAGACGTGTTTTTGTACATGCTTATACTGTTATATTGTGTGTGAGTGGTTGGCGGGTGCTCTGATGTGGTTTGCTCCTTCTTTCCTATCAAACATCTATCGTCCTTATCTCCTCTCCTTTTTGTGTTTATTACTTCCTTGTAACACGTCTAATCTTCGGCACTTATCTGACCTTGTGTTGCAAGTGCCGCAAAACTCTTACTAAAACTAAAACTAAAACCTCTTACGAAAAAAAAAAATACCGCGTAAAATAGTTACTGCAAAACGTCATGAAGAAAAAAGCCTCCAGAAGATGCAGGATTGTGAAGAGAGTTTCACTCACGTAAAGTATGGCTTTCTTTTGCACGGCGACAAGAAGATAAGCTCCCTGCACCAGCAAATGAGGTAGCGGCACTGGAGGTCGTGGTCGACCCTGCACCTCTTCCTGTTCTTCCCTTACCTCTGCCTATCGATCTAGCACCTGTTGCCTTACCTCTGCCTATCGATCCTGCACCTGTTGCAGGTGATCTGCCTGTTCTTCCCTTACCTCTGCCTATCGATTCTGCACCTGTTGCAGGTGATCTGCCTGTTCTTCCTTTACCTCTGCCTATCGATCCTGCACCTGTTGCAGGTGATCTGCCTGTTCTTCCCTTACCTCTGCCTATCGATCCTGCACCTGTTGCAGGTGATCTTCCCGTCCGTCCCTTACCTCTGCCTATCAATCATCTACCTCTGCCTGTCAATCATCTTCCTCTCCCAGTCGACTACGCACCTTCAGGTGTCGACTACGCCCCCCTCCCCCTGGCTGGCAAGGAAGACATCAAATGCCAAAAACCTCCATCTCAAAAACAGAAGTTATGAAGGTCAGTAGAAACCCAGGGAAACTCAATATTCTTATTGATTAAATACAACTCCAACAAGTAGAGAAATTAAATATTTGGGAAGCATTTTCACCCAAGATGCGCGTATGGACAAAGAAATAGAAACAAGAACTATGAAGGCAACTGCAGTGATCTGCCAGCTAGCACCCATGCTAAGTTGAAAGAACATCCCAAACGAAGTGAAATCCCAGTTCATCAATAGCATCTTCATACCAACATTATATAATTAACACACCAGTGCCAAACAGTCTGCTTTTTTTTTTGTTTTTGTTTTTTTGTAAAGTGTTTTACGGCGCTCGCAACTGCATAGGTCATATGAGCGCGCGGGACACGCCTAATATTTTAAGTTGGTAGGAAATTTTGAATTTTGCCCGGGTGGCGGCCGAAGCCTACT